GCGCACCCTGTTGGTGTGCCGGGAGCCAGAATGTGATGTCACTCCGATCCAGGCACCTCTACAGGACACGAGAGGGAGCTGTAGGCAATGCACGGATGGATGGAGCTTCCTCGCAGCCATAGCCCCATTCCATCCCACCTCAAGCTGACACACAGCGGAAACATATTTTGAATGTCTACTTGGCGCGAGAACTGACAGTGCTGCTCTAGGGGGAGGCAAAGGAGCCTCTCACCTAAAAAAGTGGAAAGCATGTGGCGACCCACTGAACACGGGTCCACGGGTTTTGGACTTATATTGCGGAGGCATCCGCGGTCATTTCAGCACCCACCCTACACTTAGGGTTTTTTATCCGGTCAGGAGTGCGATGGGTGTGTATGTTTTTTCCACTGAACATAGGGTCACGACCCCCTAGATTGACCCTAGATTGTTCACTTCTCTTTCCTTCTCCAAACTCTTCATCCTTTTGTGAATAACCCTGTAAGTGTTAACACGTTGTTAAATGGGAACAGTTTTTTAAAGAAATAAAACTGTTTTTTAATTGTGAACTTGCTATAAATAAGTGACATTATGTAAAGAACAAAGGAAATTTTTTTGATCTACACAAAAGAACTAGTCTACATTCCTAAATACATTGTTACAATGATATTTTTACAAAATGTATCAATAAAGCTTGTTAATACTGCTGTCAATAAAGCTGCTGCATGAGCTGTAGCACAGAGCAGGACCCTGTAGTAAAAGTGACAGCCTTGCCCGGCAGAGCAGCCAGGGCAAGGTTTGAAGGCCAGGGTATGCAAGATATGAATAAAGTAAACGGGGAGGAAGGTACAATATATTGTCATAGTGTATATAGTGCCAGGTGGTGAGTCTCCTATGTAATTCAATAAATCATAAATAATGCAGACCCCAAATCAAGGAGATCCCACCACCATTTCAAATATACGACAATGTAATTAAAATTGTTTGTTTATCTATCTTATCTAGTTTTATCTATCTTATCTAGTTTTGCGTATCTAGTTTTAAATATATCTAATTAATATAAAGGACACACACGTTACAAAAATACAGAAGACCATGTAATCGGACGGCACTCAGCTAGAGTATGTATAATGTGGTTAAAGTGGATACAATGATCGGCCTTGGAACGAGTTATTGGTTTCCACGAGGGGTATCCATTGCCGAGGCCGTCCATACAGGTGCTTTTAATTACATTGTTGTATATTTGAAATGGTGATGGGATCTCCTTGATTGGAGGTCTGCAATATTTATGGTATACAATATATGCCCAAGGTCTAGAAACAGTGGCACTGTCAGGCATGGGTCCCCTAGGAGCTTTGGGCTCCAAGTGCCCAATCAGAATTGCCTCACTGGAAATCTGCAACTGTTCCTCGTCATCTACTCTCTGCCTCCTCTCTCTAACACTCTCAATACTTGATCTCTTTCTTCCCTGATGGCCCATGGTCACTTTGTGTCCCCACATGGTCAATTTAGTGGGATGGCACACCAGACCAGAAAATATGTGTACAGTAACAAAAAAACAAAAATTGGACTGCAATTCATAGTATTGATATGGCCACTGCTCGTTCAGCATGTGACGTCACACTGAAAATGCGGAGCGAGTGGTGGCCATGTCGGCCGCCGGCGCGTTCTGCAGTTGTGCGCCGCCATCTCTGAGTGTATCTTGGTATACCAAGATATACCAAAATATGCTCAAAGATGGTGGTCTCCCTGCGCAGAAGGCGCCGGTGGCCAATATGGCCACCACGCGTGTTCTGCAAATGAATTTATGTATGCCCGAATATAGTTTTAGTATATTCGGGCATATGATAAATTCGTTATTTCGGATTCTGATTATCCACCCAAAGTGACACTAAACTTAGGAGTTACATCTTAAAAATGCAATTAAACGCCTTAAAAGAGAACTATGGGGTAAGTGTTTTCCCCCATAGTTCACTTAAGAGTCACGGGAGGACATATACTAGTGTCCTCCCGTGACCCAAAGCTCAGTATATCGCGAGCTATAGCTCGAGGTATACCGAGACCGCCACAGCCGGGAGGGATCCCGACAATGCTGCCGAGATCTACCCAGCTGGGTAAATGACAGCTGACTCTGTCTATCTAGAGACAGAGCCAGCTGTGACCGGCCCCTCCCCCGGCCGTTCCTAATGTTCACGGGAGGACATATACTAGTGTCCGCAGGGAGCCGTGACTTGCAGTCACGGCTCTCTGCAGGGAGATGATGGAGAAGTGAGCGAGCAACGGTATGTGTTCGCTCACTTCCCGATCTATTGATCTACAGTTTCATTGTCAAACGTCGGCTCGAACTATGAGGATGAGTGATTATCACTCACCTCATAGTTCTCCTTTAACTATTAACAGAAATGTATCTTATTTGTGTATCACTCGGCTGTAGATCCTCAAATCATCTCTAAATTGGTGCTGACACTGTCCTTCCTTCTGGAGGGGGACTACTTTTGTTCTCCATGGCTCTCCAAACTCACTCCTGTGATGGACTACAATTTCACGTTTAGTTTATTATTTGGTATTGAAAATATAATCCATTGTGGAGTGAACTTGGAGCAGTGACTTTACAACACACACAGGGACCATGAGGAACATAAGTAGCCACCCTCCAGAAGGAAGGACAGTGTCAGCACCAATTTAGAGATGATTTGAGGATCTACAGCCGAGTGATACACAAATATGATACATTTTTTTGTTAATAGTTAAGGTACTTGAATGCATTAGTAAGATTTAACTCCTGAGTTCAGTGTCACTTTAAAGCAGATCTAAAGTGAAAAATGAATAATAATAAAGACATCTTATCTGTCATCCTAGAAGAGCCGCCCTTTAAAGCAGAACTAAGCTCCGCTGCTAGTGCCCAGGGCTTTTGACATAATATGCGAGTATGCACATTTGCACATTATGGCAGACTGATCTGCTAAGATGCCTCCTTCCGCAATGTCACGGTTGTGATCTACCAAGTCACCACCACTGACATCTTCACCAGTTTTTCCAGGTTCAGCGCCACCCTTGGCACCAAACGTATGCCAAGAATGTACAGTAATCCAATCATGTGCATCATAGTGTATTAACTAGAACAGGATGCCAGCTTTTATTGCAGAAGTCTCTTCTACATTGTCTACTGTGCAATAAGAGCCTACCTGCCAGGCCACCAGCATTGTTTGTGTCCTCCCGTTACCCTAAGGAGAACTATGGGGAAAAACACTGACCCCATAGTTCTCCTTTAAGACCCTAGATCCACCTTAACTTTGAATGGCATGCTTATCCCTATAATTTCCAGGACAGGTTGTATAAGTTAGAGGCATTGACTGGCTGTCCTCATAGAGCCGACCAATCAGTGCCCCTATAATAGAAGTCACCAGCACTCGATGATATGTGCAAGAAGTAAAGCACTTTTTATTCAATTGTCACATGTGTCAAACAACTTCCACTGCCGTGTTCGGATGTGCTCCAGGCAACTGCGCATGTGCATGAGCAAGTTCACACATTTTTTGATCCTAGAAACACGTCCACGCCAATCCTAGATTTTTTCGTAAATCTATCAAACACGCGCCGATGGCGGATAAATTTGAGCGGCGCGTTTTTCTATGTATTCTGTACTGTCCAGAGGTGTTTCTGGAAGTCTATGCCGAGGGTCACAAGAGCAATTTGAATGCAGTGCTACTAACAAATGTAACCACTTCCTGGCAGTCACCTCATTCAGAGCACGCTGAAATCAATGCCCTGATAATGTCTGCCATTGACCTGACGTGTATGTACAGGCATTGTTCTTCTTTGGTTCTGGATATCGCAGGTTAAAACTTCCGCCAGCTGATTTATGCTGCCTGTGTAACATTGGGGACATTTCCCACATTGAGAGCAGTACCCTCCATTGAGAGAGTGGGGCAAAAGAAAGAACAGTGAGGGAGAAGAGAGAGAAAGAAGGGAGAAAAGAGAGAAGGGAAAGGAGAGAGAGAAGGGAAAGAAGAGAGAGAAGGGAATGAAAGTAGAGAAAGGAAAGAAGAGAGAGGGGAGAGAGAGAGAGAGAGAGATAGGGGGGAGAAAGAAAGAGAGAGAAGGGAAAAGAGAGAGAGGAAGGAGATAAGGGAAAGGAGAGAGAAGGGAAAGTGAAGAGAGGGGAAGGAGAGAAGGGAAAGAAGATATAGAGGAGGGAAAAGAGAGGTTGGGGGGGAGGGGGAGAAGGGAAAGGAAAGAGAAGAGGTAAAGAAGAGAGAGAGGAGGGGGGAGAGAGAGAGAGAGAGAGAGAGAGAGTGGGGGGAGAGAGAGGAGGGGGGAGAGAGGGGGCGGAGGAAGAGAGAGGGGGTAGAGAAGAGATAGAGGAGGGGGGAGAGAGAGAGAGGAGAGAATGAAGGGAGAGAGAGAGAGGAGAGAATGAAGGGAGAGAAGAGTGATAAGGGATAGAAGATAGAGAGGAGGGAAAATTGAGAGAGAGAGCAGGGAAAGAAAATAGAGAAGGGAAAGGAGGAAGAGGGGGGAAAGGAGGGAGAGAGAGAGAGAGAGAGAAGAGTTAAAGAGAAAGAAGAGAGAGAAAAGAAAAGCCACATAGTAAGAAAGAAAGCAAGGAAGAAGATGGAGAAAGAGAATAGAGAGAAATGGGAGAGAGAAGAAAAAGAACAGAGAGAAGAGGGAATGGAGAGAAGAGAGAAAAAGAAAGCAGAGAAGGAAGAGAAAAGAGGAACGCCAGCGGAGAAGGAAGAGGGGAGAGATGAATGACCCATGACAGTTGTACACAAGTTTTCCCTTTTCAGCGTGTTTTTTCTGCCCAGGCAGTTCTCAGTTCCGTTCGGCATGCCCTGTCATTGTGTGTTCTGCCATCCTGGTCCTGTCCCCGGGTCACCTTCTCGGAGAGTTTCCTCTTCTTTCCCTGACACAGGAGGGAGTCTCCCCAGCCAGCAGCATCACTGCTCGCAGTCGCCATGGTGACCAGGGAAGTATAAATGTCGGTGCTCCCCACCCGGGGATACACACACACCGTCAGCATGCTGCGGCCCCGGGATCTCCGGCGGAGCTCGGGCACTCAGACGTTCCTGGAAGCCATGTACGGGGGGAAGGTGCACCTGGCCCGCTTCGTGCTGGACGCCTTGGACCGGAGGATAGTGAACACCCCGGCGGGGGAGCAGGGGCGGCCCCCCCTCATGCACGCTGTGTGTCTGCGGGAAGCCGAGCTCCGGAGCCGCTTCGTCCGCCTGTTGCTGGATAAGGGCGCCGATGTGAACGGTCAGGATGAAGCGGGGCGAACGGCGCTCAGTCTGGCATGTGAATTGGGACATTTGGACGCCGTCAAGCTGTTGGTACAGCACAGCGCGGACCCGGAGATCCCGGACCGGGTGGGGAACCGGGCTCTCATGTACGCCGCCTCCTGCGGTCACAGCGACGAGCTCATCTTCCTTCTGAGATCCTACAAGAGATTCGGGCTCAGACTGGACGCCACCAACCGGGCCGGGGTGTCCGCGCTGGATGCCGCCCGGGTCTCCGGACACTGGGAGTGTGAGAGAGCGCTGAGCGTGCACAGCCCGGAGCCCCGCAGGGGGGGAGAGCCGCTCCGCAGCCCCAAGCCGCTGTCCCGGCAGATGCTGGAGCGCTTCGCCCGACCCTTCTCACAGCGCAGAGATGAAGGCATCCGGGACATGATCATCCTCCGCTCCTCCAGCAGCTGCTCCTCTGCTCACCCCGACGCACAGGACGGCTGGAGGCAGCGGGAGACTCTGGGGGTCCCCGAGCCCGGAATTCAGAGGGCTCACAGCTGGGACGGACCCGTCCGTGGAGGCTCACCTACCGCCCAGTGCAGCCGCCTGCTCCGCCGGGTCACCTCACCCGACTTCTGCCAGGGACTGGCCAACTACACCGGGGACTTGAGGAAGAACAGGAGAGACAGCATCTGCAGCCGGAGCCAGCTCATCCTGCCCAGCAACAGACAGGCTCTGGCCCTGTGACCTCATGGGGACCTGTGATGGGAACATTGCAGCCTTCCTCTGACCCCATGGGGACCTGTGATGGGAACATTGCAGCCTTCCCCTGACCCCATGGTGACCTTTGATGGGAACATTGCAGCCTTCCCCTGACCTCATGGTGACCTGTGGTGGGAACATTGCAGCCTTCCCCTGACCTCATGGTGACCTGTTGAGGGAACATTGCAGCCTTCCCCTGACCTCATGGTGACCTGTTGCGGGAACATTGCAGCCTTCCTCTGACCCCATGGTGACCTGTGGTGGGACCATTGCAGCCTTCCTCTGACCCCATGGGGACCTATGGTGGGAACATTTCAGCCTTCCTCTGACCCCATGGTGACCTGTGGTGGGAACATTGCAGCCTTCCTCTGACCCCATGGTGACCTGTGGTGGGACCATTGCAGCCTTCCTCTGACCCCATAGTGACCTGTGGTGGGACCATTGCAGCCTTCCTCTGACCCCATAGTGACCTGTGGTGGGAACATTGCAGCCTTCCTCTGACCCCATGGTGACCAGTGGTGGGACCATTGCAGCCTTCCGTTGACCCCATAGGGACCTCTCGTGGGAACATTGCAGCCTTCCGTTGACCCCATAGGGACCTCTCGTGGGAACATTGCAGCCTTCCTCTGACCCCATGGTGACCTGTGGTGGGAACATTGCAGCCTTCTAACCCCATGGAGACTTGTGGTGGGAGCATTGCAGCCTTCCTCTGACCCCATGGTGACCTGTGGTGGGAACATTGCAGCCTTCTAACCCCATGGAGACTTGTGGTGGGAGCATTGCAGCCTTCCTCTGACCCCATGGTGACCTGTGGTGGGAGCATTGCAGCCTTCCTCTGACCCCATGGTGACCTGTGGTGGGAACATTGCAGCCTTCCTCTGACCCCATGGTGACCTGTGGTGGGAACATTGCAGCCTTCCCCTGACCTCATGGGGACCTGTGATGGGAACATTGCAGCCTTCCTCTGACCCCATGGGGACCTGTGGTGGGACCATTGCAGCTTTTTTTTCTGGCCCCATGGTGACCTGTAATGGGAACATTGCAGCCTTCCCTTGACCCCATAGGTACCTGAGATGGGCACACTAGAGCCTTCCTGTGACCTCATGGTGACCTGTGATATGGGCACACTGCAGCTTCTCTCTGACCCCATAGTGACTTGTAATGGACAGCCTCTTATGATGGAGGGTCACTGAACACAGATAGAGGGGCTCCTCTCTTGCAATGGGTGGTGTGTTTGCATTGTGGAGTCCCGATAGAGTCCATGTCCAGTATGACTGCCTGCAAATCTGAAATCCTGGAAGCCATAATACTCACAGACCACACTGACACTGCTAATGAACTCAATGGAAGAACTGTAACAAGAACAGGGGGTCTGTCAGAGAATATGTGGCAGCTGCTTTTGGAGATAATTGACTGTAAAAACTGGTTCTGCCATGATGCCATCAGAAGATAAGTGACAGGGACATTCATTCGTCACTTGACAGGCAGACGCTGTGACATTACATACTGCATAATGTTTCTTTCATCAGCCAGTGATTATTCTTAGAGGAACCTGCAGATCAAGTGTAGACAGATCTCTATCTCCCAGCAGGGACTATAATAGGGATGGTGATGATGTACAAATCACCTTTATATGACTGTGATGAATAATTTCTTTTGTCCTTCACTTACAATATAAGTTGGAGTATAAATAATAGACTTCTTAGTACGTTTTGCCGTTTGTAAAACAAATCATATGTTACAATAATCTAATATCTATACTTGGCTGATCTCCTAACTTCTAAATCTTAAAACTATTAGCATGTAGCCGGTAGTAATTGGATTGTATAAAATGCAATATTCCAAATCGAACCATGGATACCAAAGCCGATTTTTTTTAAAAAGTTGCCGTATATGGGTGATGGGTTTTCTTCTATATATCCAAGGCTTTATACTAGGGATGCACCGATACTTTTCGAGTACCAATGCCGATACTTGGCATATTTCATGAGAACTACCAGGGTTGCAGCTGGGACCGGGCTCTGGCGCTCCACCACTGTCCTGAAATCATTAGTCGATATTGTTTTAGAAGAACTGTCACATGACACTAAACAAAAATGTATCAGTACTTGTATCTGTAAGTACTATGACAAGTATCAGTACTAAAAAATGGTATTGGTGCATCACGTATATATATTTATTTATAAAAAGAAAATTATACATTAAAACAGAGATGCACAAATCCCAGGAGCCCCGTATACTCCTTAAAAATGACAGCTGCCTCCTAACTTTTGAATTGTTCTCTAGTCTAGCCTTGGGAGCTGGAAAAGTATCTGTACTTGTACTGAGTACGGTACTTGGTATCGGTGCATGCCTTCTTTATTCCATAACCTGGTGTGCAGGAACCATAACAACTACACATCTGCTTACCGTGTACACCAGTCTTTGGATAGGAGATGTGTTTCCCGTGTAGAGGACTCATACATACCTCCCAACTCTCTGAGATGAGAAAGAGGGAAACCTTCTAGCACAAAGTGTGTAGGTAAAGGACTCACCACTGCCATGCACCTAGGTAAATTGTCCACAAAGAATTGGGGGCTGTGCTCATACTCTGAGCTCAATTGATGGGTTCAGTTCATCAACCTATGGATGTGGGTGTCAGGATAATATGTGTTGCCCTGCAGAGGACCTTGTGCTCAAAGCCTTGGAAAACTAAAGGGACCTACAGACTTTAGACAATGTTGGTCAGATTGGGTGAAGATCAGTACACAATAGCCATTCATGGGGCAGTGTGCAGAGGGGGGATTCAATATCCTGTTGGGATTTTGGTGGCGACAGACACTCTATTTTCTCTAAGATCAGTCCAGTGTGGGTTGTGTGACCATTCCCCCCAATAGATATTGACCTCCATGCTCCGTGGTTTATACAAGCACTAGGTGGACCATCTCATCTTGTGCTAGGACGACTTTACAATATTTTGTTTTTCAAAATAAAATATAAACAGTGTATCATAAAATGTTCAACAACAATGAGCAATAACAATGTAGTCTCTATGAAGTAATACATATAGCAATATTATTTAAAGATAGAAGACAGGAATCCTCATCATCCTACTAGGGAGAGGATCTGTCATTTGATGATATGAACTGTGTATACAAATAAAGTTATAGAAGGTATTTCAGTTACTGTATTTTTATTTGACATCGGGGTGTGTAATAGATATCAGTGCAGACTCAACAGATTGTGTATCATGTTTATTATGTCACACTCAGTTCTTCTTCTGGTCAGCTGTGGAATGAATCTGTCAGCATTTCTAACCATTTCAATGTGAAATTCTTGCCTAAAATCATGCAGATTTGGGGGGTTTAAAGCAGACCAATGTTAAAAAGTTAAGGTTTAGCAACCCATGGCAGTGGTAAAAATTGAAACTGAGATATATGTGACAAAGCTCAGCCACTAAAGCAGCTATTCTCAACTTTATTTTTTAACATAGAGGAACACTTGATAACTTTCTGGTCTTAGGGAACCCCTGCTGAAATTATTACCTCTACAGCTCATTCTACATTAGTGTGATGGTCAGTGGGAAGAATGCTTCTTATATTTGTGGTCTTTGGGAAGAGTTCCCCTTACAGATAACTAAAAGATCATTTTTGTCAGTTGTCATTTATCTAAGAGGCAGAAATTGTTCAAGAAACCCCTAGGAACATCTGGAGGAACCCTAGAGTCCCATAGATCCTTTGTTGAGAAAGGCTGGCCTAAGGTTTTATTGAATACCTTTGCTTTGTCAATGTAGCACAGTCAGAGCTCTTCACCCCATACACTATGGGTACACCTTCCCCTGGCTTACACAGTACAGTTCCGAGAGCCAGTGCAGATTTGCTTATGGCTATTTTATTAGTTACCAGGAGAGAGCTGTCACTATTTCCATAGCTGAATCTTGAGTCCTCCAGTGCTGCACTTTGAAATCCTTCAGGTAAAGATATGCGTGGAAAGCTTATGCTGTCTGTTTTTTTGTATGTATCTCAGTTTATGACTTTTATTACTGTAACAGGTTCATGTTAATGCTATGTTAACGATCTTTCAGGAGCCTATAGAGTTATAGAAGGGGTTAAAACATCTATCTTTTTTGGACAAAATGCTGCTCCAGGCACCCTGCAGTGTTGGTCACACGCCCAAATAATGTTTTCAATCAGGGCTGGGCAAATCCCGGGAGCCAGGTAGCCAATGCAGTTGGCTTCTAATTTTGAAGGTTCTCTCTAGTTGCTGCCAACAGAGCTGCCTTCTAAAAAAATATCCTTCTGGCTCCTAGATTGGACAGACTTGCTCCTGAATTCCATACTAATTTGTCCACTCCTATTTGAATTCTGAGAACCAGGGCTGAAAAGAGCTTGCAACATCATTTGCTCCAGGAAGCGTGAGGATTTTTGGACTACTGTCGCAGCTAGACTGTTAACACAGCTTTATGTTAACACATAGTATAGGTCCTTCATGGCTTCAAGTGAACTCTTGTGAGCCAGTGTAGAGTAAGCCGGCTTATTTTTGCTGACTCAGCAGAGATTAATGGGGAGTCAGCCAGAAGTTTACAAGCTACTGTATCTCTGTCATCTGATGCTGTGCTACTATCCAGAATTCCAACCTGTGTATTATATCTTTTATGGGCAACTCAGTTTCATCTGTGCCGTCGTTGTATTGCTTTTAACCAAATAGTGCAAACAGTAATAGTGTACAGTTACTCATTGTTGCCATAGTTGGCTAGAACGTTAAAGCAAACCTGTCAGCCATTTTACAACTTTTAAAAGCAAAAGTCCTGCCTGATAGAAGAAGACATCACTAGGTGTCTATTACTTTTATAAGTCAAATAAACCCTCCTAGGTCCCCTCTCTGATTTAGCTATACATTGTTACTAAGGGCTTAAATTCCCTTGCTTTGCGTTAAGTGCTCTCCACCTGCCACCCCACCCATCCAGCCGAAGGGCTTCAATAGACAATAGGGGCACTCTTATTAAACAGGGTCCAGGTAGGTATGTGGGGCATAGCCCAAAAGTC